TGAAATACATAAAGCTTTCAACCTTTCAATTTTAAATACAAAATATGTAATACTTTCATGCACGCCACTAAAATATGAAATATAAAATCTACTTTTATTACGAAAACTGTGTTTTGAATAAAAATATTTAATTTAAATACCTGCCCAGCCCTGATAAAATGCTTTTAGGATATCTGCAGAGCGTCCTACTTGCGTTTCAAAATATCTTCTCAGTATATGTTTCGATATTTCGAAAATCCACTTATCTATTCAAAGGTCCACAGTGACTGTGCAGGCGTCTTTGTATTATCTGTATGTGTGATTTCCGTTCCGCTGAAATGTGTTTCCTAGTGTCCCATGGAGCAGAATTTACGGATGCGCAATCAATGCGAGCCAATGACAAATGCTATTCCAGTAGATCTAATGAAAGTGAACTACGGAAAGACTTGCGATTGGTCAACGCTATTGCGCATTCCGCAAATTTCACTCCATGGGACACTAGGAAACACATTTCAGCGGAACGGAATCGGCGGAATGATGTCACGACCAGTAATGAACGTTTCGTAGTTCCGCATATCCGCAGTTCCGCATCCCATGGGACGGCACCCTTAGTGTCACTACTAGTGCAATAATGCAGTAGTAAATTCGTATATACTTCGTGTAGAAATTTAAGTAAAATACCAGTCAGTTTTCCCTAATACTGAAAAAAAATTTTTTCTAAATTCGAGAATTAATTTTTTTTCATGATGCATCCCAAACGGTCACCCATCCGAAGTTGTACCACGACCTCGCATGCTTAACCTTGACAATCGTACGGGAACTGCTGTACTTCGATGACCCACGAATCTGTATGTCAATGTCTGTATAATTGTGATATATCTGTTCAATGGAAATATTGAAAACAGATGGTTTATGTGTTTATATGATAGTGTATGTATTAGTGTATGTATTAGTATATGTATCATTTCCGTAAGTGTAATGTGCATGACATATCATTTTATCCTTGTTTTTCATCGAATATTAAAGGATAAAATGATACATCAAATAATAATACACAAATAATAACAAAAAATAATTAATTAGTAATGGTCATATTGTTGTACCTCTCGGTGCAACAAGATATTAATTTGGGATTCGATCCGCTCAAAGGGTTGGAACCCACGAGGAAAACGAGGAAAGTGGTCCAGGTCGTAGAACAAACACACACTGCACCACACTTTTATTAAAATAACCCCTTTTATTTATTATAACACTTACAATTTCGAGTGGTTATTACCACTGATTACATTTATTTAAGTAATCGTAACCCTTTATTTAATTATTATAATTACCCGATTGAATGATTACACTTTGGTGGTTAATTGCTTATGTTACAATTCGAATAGTTGATTACAATTGTCGAATTGATTTAATTAAAGAATATATTCGGGTTAAAGTCCTCGCTCGTGACTTAGACCGGTCGGCGACACTCGTTATCGCGGATGTAATATGACTCGGTTCTCGCGACGCGCGTAACGTATCGTTACGTTT